CATTTTCATCGATTAAACTTATTCTTTTGTATTTGTTTTAGGTTGTACTCTGCGCAGGCACTTGGAGTCATTCAGCTTTGTCAAATCAATAAATGTGCTTTCTTCTGATTTGAACCACGTCTGTTTTGTCTCAGTTAATGAACTTGTGTGACTTATGTATGACCAAGGTGGTAGTCCAGGTTTAGGATGATGGTTCCTGAGGGGAGACTTCCCAGGTGGTATTGAATTTGCTAGATTCTGTTACAGCTCTCTTCTCTTTCCTCCTTAGCCTGCCACAATACAACGTTGTCAGTTTATAAAATACAAATATGAAATATTAGGACCACGAAGAGCAACAAAACATTGAACATGCATGCATTTATTTGATTAAAAGAGGAAGGCTATTCCAAAGCTTTAGAGCTGTTAAGTAGTTGCCAGTTAAATATAAACCTTACATGTGCCTAAGTATAAAGACAAATCCTCATCCTAAGATGGAGGATGCATACAAGATCTTTCTTTTATGCTTTTAATAAAGTATTAATACAAAGCCAACAGCAAAGTTAGGGGGAGGGAACAGCCCAAAGAGCACTTTATAGAATCAAGGTGACGCTGGCAGTAAGCAATAGTCCTCAAAATGATAATGCAATTATGGAACCTAAAATGTATTGCATTACAAATGTAATGTGATTACAGAAATGGGTTAGTTTGTAATGCGTTTCACCCCAACACTGATGGCAGAATGTTAATTTCACAAAGTGATTGCGGGATCAAAATAGAGGTTAAGGTTATAAATACATTCTGGTTTTTGGGTTAAAAATGACTTCATACCTTTAGTAGAAGACCTTTGCCATAATAGTTGTATATATAGTTGTACTTGTTTGGGGACGATCGTTGTCATGCAAAAAACATTGACTGGAGACGAATATCTCAGGCTGAGCTGCTGTTATTCTCTTTTTTTGGACCTTAACTTTTTGGAAGCATGACACTAAATTGCTTATTGAATAACTTAGACCTTCCACTCATATTTTTGTCTACTACAGTCTATCATATTTTACTCAACTCCTCAACTTTGGAGAACTGGGAAACATTTGGATCAAGGATGCAAAGCCTTCAGTATGCAAATAAATAAATATTAGAATCCATCTTAAAAGCTTGTCTTTGAGCATACACAGAAAGCTGCTGATCTGCATTGTCAGTTTGCCAGTTGACTTTCTTGCTGTGTTCAAGAATGCGTATGTGTTCGTCTGAGACAGTGGCTCACTTTTGATTCAGCTTGTTTGCATGGGAAAGTAGTGGAATGTAATGTGGTTCGTGAGTTTGCAAACTGCGAAAATAAAATGAAGAGGTACACACTTTGCGGTTTTCAGAGATTCCCAGGGGACGACTTTCAATGTTTACTTTCAGTCAAACTCAAACACAAAAACAAAGTTTTCTGTCAAATTGAAGATTTGGGGGATTCTAGTAGACTTGCTCTTGCCCGGATTCACGCTGTTTAGAGGTAGGCCTGCATTTCCTGATCTGCAAACGAATTGTCAAGCATGTTTATCATGGCCAAAAGTTATAAAACCCCCATAAACATTTACACAGCTTCACAAACCCCTTCATTTTTCTTCAACAGAAATATTCATATGTATGGACTTGAGAGGGAGACGCAGTTCAATTTGCTTATACAGTCTGTAGAAAACTCCCAACATAAGTCATCTCAGGGAACATTACATACTAAAGTTACATACAAATTCAATAAGCAATTCCTTTGACCAAACGCTTGACAGGTGGAAGAAAAAAGCTGCCTTTTAACAGGGAGAGGCCTCCAGCAGAACCAGGCTCAGGGAGGGCAGCGATCTGTCTCGACTGGTTGGGGTTCGAGAAGACAAAAAAGGGTCGCAGAAAAAACTGAAGGCACAAACAGTAGGAGGTTGGTGAGGCTATTAATCGCACATAATGCTCGACTGTGGAGCCAGAAATAGCTGCAGAGAGGACAAAAGACAAACAACAGGAGAGATGAGACAAAGTTAACGACATGCAGTGGTGGCATACAGATATATGGAGACAGCAGAGGAAAGGACAGATGCTCAGTGCATCATGGGAAGTCCCCCAGCAGCCTGGGCCTATAGCAGCATATGTGCCAGCCTCTGTAGTGTAAAAAGTGTGTTTGAGCCGTAGATACGGTGAAGTGCTGTTTTGAAGAAGTCTACTTATCTTTCTGCTTTGGTGATGGCAGTTTACTTTTGTGTATTCTATCAACTAGAAATTACACTTTGAACTGGTAGTGTGAAAATTGGGTTTACTTTAGAAGTGTTTCTCCAAAGTTTTTTGCTCCAGCTCAATTGCCGTTTTCTTTGGATTTGTAGGATTGCAGAGCAAAGAAAAGGAGAGAACAGTGTGCCTAATGACAAAATCATGCTTTACATTTTATGTTTGAGCAAAACAAATTCTTGAAACTTCAAGTTGACTTTCCTCAATCTTAAGTTGGAGCAATGCAAACTGTTCATCTGAGAGGAATAAAAAAGCTTTCAGGGTGTCTAATTTAAACCGACGGCATAAATATTGGATAGGATGGATAAGCTTATTTCAGTTGTGTATTACCAATTGAAGCAATTGTTCATCCAACACTTTCACTTCAGTGCACTATAAGCAAAAAGCAAAGCAGAGAGGATGCCTGGGAGCTGGTGCCACAGGCTCTGCCTCCCACTCCACACACTTTTAGAAACTCTAGAAACAAGCAGACCTGCATGCAGAGTGAAATGCTTTACTGGCATAATATGTTACTATGAGGTTCCTAAGATGAAAAATGGAGCTTTTTCATTCCAGAAAGTGAAAAATATGCAACAGATTTGATTTTTTTTCACATCTTGAGCTTTGCACAGTAAACCTTTCACATCCTGTTATTACACTGGTTCTTTTGCACATGTCATTTTTGCACCTTTTTTTCTTTTTTAAATATGTATTTTAAACATTGTAGTTGCTATGAGCAGATGTGAAGGACCTTTTGCACTGTTTTGAATATTCATATTTGTCACTTCACTTTGCATGACTAAAGGTTAATCACATAACTAAATGCAGGGAACTGCAAATTGCATTGCACTGATAACTTGTTGTTGCTACACGTGACCATAAAGCCTTTGAATCCCTTGAAATTGATTCAGATTTATTTTAATTTTATTAGGTGCCATAGCTTCAGCTCTCACTGTTTGCATTGTATCCACAGACATTCAATCCTTTCAACAGTAACTATTTATATAAGGGATGCA